AAGAAAATTTACTTACCAACATTTTTTTTTTGAGTTTTGGTGAACTCAAATAAGTTTGAAAGAAGCTATAATTTCAAACGTATTCGATTTACATTAAAAAAATGTTTAGATCCAATCTAAATGTCATGCAAATTAAATTCTCTAAGATAAAATATATTATTTGATCTTTGTTGTTTCTAATTTTTTCGTGTATTATAAAAATTATGATTTTTTTTTCCAATATGTCAAAAACCTAGTTAATGTGATTATGCAAACATTTTTTTTTAACAAAACCAAAATATGTCATCAGTGTCTTAAACTCTTGACTTTTCTTGTGATACTGGTTTCAAGGTCTATTTTCATAACATAGGTGTATTTTCATAATCATCATCTCTGTAACGTGTTACATCATGTCCTCTATTCATAAATTTCAAGGGGCTAGAATTATACTAACCATTGGGAATTTGTGACAAGGGCTCTTAAAACAACAACAAAATTTGTTTTCTTATCCTAATTGGAACCAAAATCAAAAATCTCAATTATGTTTATTTGTTGAGAAGCACATAGTTTCATGGTTTGTTCATGTTAGCCAAGTTAAACTCGTGATGATAAATCGTTATAAGAATGAAGACATTGCTTGCGGGAACGAATATTGACATGATTAGTTTGATGACGAAGCGGTGTTTCGGATTACAACATTTGGTCGGATCAAGATGGAAGATGATTTATTGGATGTGAGAACAAAGACCGGGAGTTGAGAAGAAATGAATTGTCTTTTTATCACATATTATCGAAATGCAAATCGTTTTTTACAAATCAAACACACATCCTTATTTTCCTTCAATAATAATTGCAGTAGATTACTACTTATCAATCTTCGGAGACTTGGTTGCTAACTTTACTTTTCAATTTCATATCCAAAGGATTCAACATTGACGAAAAGGGTTCATTGACTGAAGGTTTCTACTCATGAGACAGTCTTTAGATGGATGATCAAGATCATCAGTCATTCAGTCTCCATCAAACCAGCTTCTTTTGTCTTCTTCCTCATCGATTTGATCGGCCTTTTGAAAATTTGAATTATGTTTTCATGTATTAATTGAGAAGACAACATTTCAAATTTACACAACTATAGAAGGATGATCAAGATCAGCCTCCATCAAACCAGCTTCTTCTGTCTCTGCATCATCGATTTGACCAGCCTCTTGACCGTTATCCGTGTCAGAACCACCACCTTGTCTTTGCTGTTCCTCAGGTGTAGGAGTGTCTGCAATAGCATCACTCTCCATCGCCTCTGCTTCGCCTCTTCCTCCTTCAGCTTCAGCTTCACTATTAGAAACACCAATCTGGTTTCCCTCTGCTTCCTGAGGTCCACCTTTGGTTTTGGTTTCTTCTTTCTTAGCACGTTTCGCTTTCTCATTCGGTTTAGCTTGGTATTTGGACCGGATCTCAGGTGGCAATAGTTCAACAGGGACAACTCCTTCGATTCCATGATCAGTAAACTGTTTTAAAACAAATTAACAAGCTTTAAAACAAATCTTATCAAAGCATTGAGAAATCAGTGTTTATGAGTCATAAGAAAGCAAGTACCCTAGAAAATCCTTCCAGGTCTTGCCGAGCTGTAAACCGAAGACCTTTCCAGCAGTAAACCTTTTAAGACAGTAACAATCAAAATGTCGTGAGACTTATTCAATGAGCCATCTTAAAAATAAAGTTGTAAGTCAGAGGAAAGTTAAATACTCTATTGTTTTTGTGATGGTACTCATCTTCTATGCCTGCTGATGGGTCCATCTGAGATTTCAATAGAACACCAAATGAGCAGATAAGACATTAACAATTCGGAAAATGATAATTGAAAAAAAAAAAATTATATGTTGGCTTACATCTTCTGCTAATGGTTTCCAGTAGTCTGCAATGTCAGGGGTTCGTACACGTTGAGAATCAGTCAAAGCATTCTGTCATGACATTAGAGATACAATTGTTGTAGACACATAAACTGTAGATCGGTACGGTATCTGAAAAAGAGAGAGTGGAATAGCATGTGGCATCAAGGTAACAACGCACAATGATGCAAGAAGAATAATACATACCGGATTTTGATCGGCCCATCTCCAAAGTTGGGAGAGTTCTTTGTTGCCCAATCTCCATCTTTGCCTCCTGTAAAAGCAAAAGATAACCCACGTGGAGATTAATACTCTTGCTTAGATTCACTAGTTGCTTCTCACTTGCAATGGACTATTGATTAGAGATCACCAGCGAAAAAGCTGAGACATAACTTTCATGTCTGTCAATTCCTTGAACCTAAAGTAGTCTAAATTTCTAATGGTGGACACCAACTAGGTCTGTAATTACATGAGCAAGAAGCGGATTGATTAAAAAAAAGGTCAGCTTTTCCCATACCGTTTCTTTTGTCCTGCATTAGGTGATTTCTTCTCTATCGGTTGCTTTTCAAATGGTGGGCATCCATCACGTTTCCACCAGACCTGTTATTGTATGCATTGTAGAAATCATGATCGACCCTTGCCTTCAAGCCAGAGAGAAAGCAGAACACATACCCAATTCTTTTCACGCTGCAGTATATGCTCAACTGCATGGAGGAATTCTTTCCCTTTAGGCGGAGTGATCTCAAGCAATTTCTTCACGCGATCCTCACATGACTTAAGTTCTTCCTTCTAGGTTGAAAAGAAAAACCACAGTTTTGAGTGATTATGCATAAAACCCGATATACTCAGATATAAGCTAGGTTTGTCAACCTTTGAAACAAAGCAAGAGACAATTTGCTCATTGAAAAAGCAAAAACACTGACCATGGTTTCAGATGGCAGATCTTTGTCGTTCTTCCCTGGTGCCTAACAGGAAACAGGAGTCGGTTATACCAGAATACCAGAGAAAAAGTAATTTGACATGCAATTCTTGAGAAACATTTACCCTCAGATAATCAAACAGAATGAGGCACTGGAGAAGAATATGTCGTCGAAAACTCGAATCCTTCAACTGTGACCAAAGGTGAAAACAAAGTGTGTAAATTGCTAAGTTTAAAAGCTTGTATGTCAACAAATTTAAATACATTCTTACAAAAATATATATTATATATATGCGTTTGTGTTTGTTGAATCTACATCATACTTACCTCTAAACCCATTAATTTACTACTTGTTAGGTATTTTATGTTAAAAGTTGCTGCCTCTTCCTCCAAACTATTAGCCTCTCCCTCTTCTTCGCTTAGTGGTTGTGCGTCAAAGGTGTTTAATACAACCTAAAAAGGCAGTTCAAGAAACAAGGTCTAAGAATTCTCACTACCGCCGGCACGACTTGTCTATGCTATGCATATACATTTATACATATGTAAGAAACCAGGTAATGTATTATAGCCAAAAACCATGATCACATACCGCCAAACTAGATGAAAACTTCTGCCACTTGGTAGATGCGGAAGTAAGAGAAGCGGGATTACAGAAATACTCCTGGAAATGAAACAAGTTTTTCAATAATGTTAACACTGCCTCAATATACAAAAGGAAAAACTGAGATGCTATCTCCCGTAATGCTTATTTTGCAAGATAAGCAAACAGAGGTTCTATGAGACCACCCTTAAGATAAAGGCGCAACAGAGTTCCCTAAAAAGTTCCTTCAACTAAATACGCACCTGTAAACTCCAAAATGTCTTATAGAAGTTGAAATCTACAGAAATGCCTGAGAAGGAATGACATAGATAGCTCGATTTAGAATTGTGTAATGGATAGAGAGGACCAGAAAGCATTAGAAAAGAGTTTCACTTGCCACTTGGAGGATCTTTTTCATATTTGGTTTCATTGGATGTATTAAAGACTCCTTTTATATTCACGGCTGCAAGAATTAAGTGAAGTAAGTCAATTGCATAACTTCTAAACATTCGCATACCCAAGAATAATTATGTGCAATAAATTACGAGAAACCTTCTTACCTGAGCGCTCAGATAACGGAAAAAAGTGAGCCAAGAACATGAGAATTCTTCCACAGAATACCACATCATTGGCCTGTATGTCAGATTGTTAAAGCAGAAAAGGAATTAATAAAGAGTGGATGTGTCATAACTGAAAAAAATAGATTATACTTGCAATATTTTTGACAAAGGGAACTAGAATAGGGTGGAGATACTGAACCTTTGAGAGTCGCCGGAGAAGTTGGTTGCAAGTCCTCAACATTACAAGTTTTCCGCGTGCAAAAAGCTCTTGCTGTAAATAATTGCAACCTCCACGTCAAAATAAAAGATACTCATACAACTAACAGAGGAAAATTTTGATTTCGTCTGAGACATACCTTGCCCAATATATCTTGTTTCCTTTCAATATAGCCAAAAACATCTTTACAGTTTTTCATAGTAGACATTTCCGTCAAATCTTCCAGCAGCTGGAATATCATGCCACCTTCTACATGCTCTTTCTCACAAAGATAAAGCACAACATCTAACAAACCAATCGAAGAAAGAACAAAAAGATTGTGTGAGGTTGGAAAAAATTAGTCAGCAACAATGAAGCACGAGATAATAAGCAAGAGAATACAATGTTTTACGGGCACACACTTGCACCTACTTAAACGAGCTATGCAAATAAATCAGACTAGACAGAACGCTTTGAAAGAAATTGCTAACCTAAAAGATGAGGAATCTGGCCATGTCTATTTTCATCATCATCATCAATCAACTGACCATACTGCATTATTTGCTCTCCTGATTGTGCTGCAGAAGCCTGAACAACCCAAAACACAATGCGAAATCCACACAGCAAAAAAAAAAATCAAATGACTAGATCAACAAGCATATAACACAAACATACAGTGGAGAAACAACAAACCACTAGCTCTTGCAGCAATGTCCGGAGCATATTTTCAAGCATTTGGTTTTCATCTTGAACCAACTTTGTTTGTTTCTGTCAGGTTATACAATAAAAAACAGTAAGACCGAGCAACATAAGTTAACAATCTCCAAAAAGAATCGAGAACATCTACTAAATTTATTGAAAACCTATTTAGTCGATGCTCACTCACAAGTCACAACAACCAACTCAAAATTGAATCTTTACAAATAACCACAAGTCGGACCAAGAGCTACCCGAGTAAACTCACGGTTTCAACCAGCGATTAAACGTTGCAGCACATACAAGTTTGCAAAAACAGATAGATAAAGAATCCATGTAGACATAAACATTCACTAAACTTCGCAAAGAACGAACAAAACAAGATTCTAGAGCTAGAACAACAATAAATTTTATATGCACACTATGACACCAGAGATACAGTGAAGAGTGAACACATTGTTTGGTAGATTCCAAACAGTTTACCTGAGGTTGTATAAACTCTTGAACAGTCTTGAGTGCAAAGCTTTCAATAGAACCTCGCTGCAATATAGCATCTCTAAATGCATCCTGAGAATAGAAATCAATTTTAAAGATAAAACACCATAACCAAATCTAATCGAAATCTG